TGGGTGACAGCAGGGCTGGGTGACAGGAGGGATGGGTGACAGCAGGGCTGGGTGACAGCAGGGGTGGGTGACACCCCCCGGGGGCCTCAGCCCAGTGACAGGACCTGTCGCAACAGGGCGGTTCCTGCCACCACTTCCTGTCCCCAAGGGGGAAGTGACACCGAAGTCCCCAAGGGGGGGGACACACCACGAGGTCCTCTGTGGCCACTTGATGTCCCTGAGCCCCTTGGGGACACTCTGGGGACAACCCTGTCCCAGAGGCAGACCCGCCCCAGGCCACCCCTGTGAGGTGTCACTGGGGTGTCACCCGACTGTCCCCGTGTCACAAAGTGTCCATTTTTGTCCTTTTTTGTCCCTTTTTGTCCTTTTTTGTCCCTTTGTGCCCCGTTTTGGCAGGACTTTGGATGGGCAGAGCCCCCCCCGGCCATGGGGCAGAGCGAGTCAGAGCCGCAGGATGAGGCCGAGGTGGGACATGGCCCTGTCACCTCAGTGTCCCCACCCCGAGTCTCAGCTGTCCCTTGTCCCCACCCCTGGGGGACACCAGGGCTCAGCTGTCCCTTGTCCTTGCTCCCAGGATCCCCGGGGCTCAGTTGTCCCTTGTCCCCACCCTGGGGGTCACTGGGGCTCAGCTGTCCCCTGTCCCCACCCCTGGGGGTCATTGAGGCTCAACTGTCCCTTGTCCCCACCCCTGGGGGACACCAGGGCTCAGCTGTCCCTTGTCCCCACCCTGGGGGTCAGTGGGGCTCGGTTGTCCCCTGTCCCCACCCCTGGGGGTCACTGAGGCTCAACTGTCCCTTGTCCCCACCCCTGGGGGTCATTGAGGCTCAGCTGTCCCCTGTCCCCACCCCTGGGGGTCGTTGGGGCTCAGTTGTCCCCTGTCCCCACCCCTGGGGGTCGTTGGGGCTCAGTTGTCCCCTGTCCCCACCCCTGGGGACACCAGGACTCAGCTGTCCCTTGTCCCCACCCCTGGGGGTCACTGGAGCTCAACTGTCCCTTGTCCCCACCCCAGGGACCCCCAGGCCTCAGCTGTCCCTTGTCCCCACCCCAGGGACCCCCNTGTCCCCACCCCAGGGACCCCCGGGGCTCAGCTGTCCCTTGTCCCCACAGGACGGGCCCCTGAGGGCGGTGCTGCCGCGGTTCTTGACCGACCGGCTCCCGACCAGCGCGGTGAGGGGACGGTGTCCATCTGTCCTCATGTCCCTGTGTCCCCGTGTCCCTGTGTCCCCGTGTCCCCATGTCCTCATATCCCTGTGTCCCCGTGTCCCCATGACCCCAGTGGTCTCACGTCCCTGTGTCCCTGTGTCCTCATGTCCCTGTGTCCTTGTGTCCCCGTGTCCCTCTGTCCTCATGTCCCTGTGTCCTCATGTCCCCGTGTCCCCGTGTCCCTGTGTCCTCATGTCCCTGTGTCTCTGTGTCCCCGTGTCCTCATGTCCCTGTGTCCTCATGTCCCTGTGTCCCTGTGTCCCTGTGTCCTCATGTCCCTGTGTCCTCATGTCCCCGTGTCCTTGTGTCCTTGTGTCCTGTGTCCCTGTGCTCTCATGTCCCTGTGTCCCCGTGGCTCTGTGTCCCCGTGTCCTTTGTCCCCATGTCCCTGTGTCTCCATATCCGAACGTCCTCATGTCCTTATGTCCTCATGTCCCTTGTCCCTGTGTCTCTGTATCCCTGTGCCACCAGTGCCAGTGTCCCCATGTCCCCAGTGTCCCCATGTCCCCAGTGCCTCTCAGCACCCCCCGAGGTGGCACAAAAATGTCCCCATGTCCTCGGGGACAATGTCCTCATGTCCCCAGTGCTGCTCAGCACCCCTGAGATGACACACCCTTGTCTCCATGTCCTTGGAGACAATGTCCTCATGTCCCCATTGCTGCTCAGCACCCCTGAGGTGACATGAAAGTGTCCCCATGTCCCCAGGGACAGTTTCCCCATGTCCCCAGTGCTGCTCAGCACCCTCTGAGGTGACACAAAAGTGTCCCCAGTGCTGCTCAGCACCCCCTGAAGTGACACAAAAGTGTCCCCATGTTCTTGGAGACAATGTCCTCATGTCCCCAGTGCTGCTCAGCACCCCCTGAAGTGACACAAAAGTGTCCCCATGTCCCCAGGGACAGTTTCCCCATGTCCCCAGTGCTGCTCAGCACCCTCTGAGGTGGCACAAAAATGTCCCCAGTGCTACTCAGCACCCCCTGAGGTGACACAAAAGTGTCCCCATGTTCTTGGGGACAATGTCCTCATGTCCCCAATGCTGTCAGCACCCCTGAGGTGACACACTCTTGTCCCCTGGGGCCGTGTCCTGGTCCCTGATCCCGCCCAGCCCCTCCCCTCCCTCC